TGCTTGATAAATAATGAAAATAGAATAATTTAAATTATTTTATTAATAAAACATTTTTTGCAATAATTTATTAAAAATGTTATGATTTCCATGCAGTTTAAGGGTACAAGAAATATGAAATGAACACATCCACTTTGATTTGTTCAAGAGCTCCTGTGTGTCTGTGTGTGTGCCAGTGCAAACACACGGGACGGTACCGCAGTGGAGCACACAAGTGTACACTTCCAAAAAGCACTGTATAGAAAAACAAAACAACAGATTTGTGGAGTTCCTCTTTTTTTTTTTTTCAGTTTTTTTTTTTTTGTTTGTTCTTGATGGGCAGTGATGAGTTTTCTGAACTCAAAAGAGATGATAAATTCAAAAAATAATAAAAAAAATAAAGCAAAAGGACAAAAAGAAAAAAAAGAGCGGTAAGTCTTCCAGCACAGAATAAATAGTTTGTATAGCAATGTGTAAACTTGTAGACAGCACGTTTTCACACAGTGGCAAACAGACATACACGCTCACTGCTAACATTCTGTCTTTTTAACGTCATTTGTAACACCCCCCACTATCATTGTATTGTACCTCTACAGAAAAAATAAGTTGTTTACATTATATACATTAGAAGTTATTCATTCTCCTGGGGTGATGACAAGGCCTTGCTATTGTTTGTTACATGATGCAAAGATAGACCAGTTCACACCAGAATACACATGGAGTCCAGCCCAAAATGTTCACAAATCTTGTAGACTGAATTCATGAATCTCTTTGCACAAATGAGTGTTTTCTTGCTTTAGAAGAACACAACACTTAGATCATTTTCAGTTTTTTTTAGGTAAAATCACAGATTTAAGTGACCAACAAATCAGCTCTTCACTTCATTTCCAAGGTTATTGCCAAGACGGTCATAAACAACCAGATGGGCATTCAATAGACCATGATGCATTTTCAAAAGCAACGCATTAACGGGTTAACCTTGTGTTTCGCTTGATTCACAAACACAAGCACACACACACAGTGATTTGAATCCACAGTATAGAACATATCCAAATAAAAATCATATAAAGCACTACCTTGTATCTCTTTATCCAGTTTTCCAGTGATTTCCTTAAAACGCGACTGTCACAAATTCACTTTTCCCATAAAGGTAATGACATGTTTACACAGACGGATCAGTGCTTACCGTTCCATTGTAAAAAGAACAGTTTGTGGTGCATGGTACAGTATGTCTTCATGTGGTGCTATAAATGTCTTCATATTTGTTTTTAGTACACTTCATAGTGTCAGACAGTCTTTAGGGTTGTTCTGAGAAGCATGATCTCTATGACAATATTTCTGTGCAATGTCAACATTAGTGTCATAATTATACACCAAAAGTACAGGTAGTGTAAAGGATATTTTGGATATGATTCTGCCTTCCAGCTTAACGTACCATCAAGAACATACTGTAAATATACTTATCTATAGTTATAATGAGCTAATTATTGCCACTTTCATAATTATTATAATTGTGCATTTGTCAGTAATGGAGTAAAATGATCTGCAAAAAAATTCAATCTATAATGTATGCATAGGATACCATGCACGAAAGATTAAAAAATAAATAATTCTTTTTAATCAATCTAATACATTCTTTGTGTATACATACTTTTACCGTATGACTACTCTGAATAAGAATCTCTTGATAATCTCTTGTTCATAATTACATGTCGCCAGGCTTCTGTTGCCTCAGCTAATTCATATTATGGTTATCATTATGATTTAAAAGTAGAGTACTGAATTATGCCCACTCCTTGAGCAGATGTTTGGCCGGATCACTTGTAAACATCCCATTCACTTAACTAGTAATAAAATAGATATTTGAGTTGCTCTTTTGGATGATTTTCTAAAAATTATTCTTTGAATACTAAAGTTCCTGTTTATGCTTGGAAGCTCATACAATTGAAAACTTCATTAACCAGGGGCCTAATTTATGAAACGTGTGTACGCAACGCACAGATTTGAACATAGTGTGTGAATGCTAAAATCCACGCAGACGCACACATTTCTCCTTGTGGCGGAGAGATGGACTACTGCAGGTATTTGGAAATATAAGCAATTCTCAAGTAAAGCATTTGGACGTCGACTGCTGCTCTTTTACATGTTAATGACATTAATGAGGCGGAGATCTGAAACCATTCAGCTGCGCACAATTTCAAGAACATTTGCTATTTATAGATTTCACATCTGGATCAAACATTTTATAAATCAGGCCCCAGCAACTTGAAGATCAAATTGGATTCCAGTATGAGAATCTACCCATTTTATGACAATTCGTAATCTCTTTGTAAAAGGTTGTAATAACAGTATTGACCGTATACTGTAAGTTTACATGTCAGATATGCCATATACTGTTTAAAAAAATGAAATGCAATATGTAAATGTGAGCTAGCCCTTTTACTTCTACTGATTCACCGAGCTTCATAGTTGCTTATCACCCTCCATCCCTCCATTAAAATATATTGTAGTTATAATCTATTAGGGACACCTTTAGCAGATGTTTGTTAATGACATATTAATAAAAGTTGTAGATCATTACCATGACATATTTTAACAGGAGGTTAAAAGGCGATGAGAAACAATGAACAAATAAAGCCAGTTATAACTTGTATATTGTTTTTTTAATGTCCAGTGTACACTATTCTCTTGTTGATGTTTTAGTTTATTCTCTAATATAGGACATTAAATATGATGTTCACAAGTGCCAACGATGATCATATTGTGGGATACTGATTGCTGAACGTGCCAAACTACATATAAACATTAAAGGCATTGAATAATAAACAATAATGTTGAAATGAACTTGGAAATAAGAGCTGATTGTAGTCAGAATGAAAACTCAGTCATAGTCATATGCTGCAAAAGTCCAAATGTAGACCAACCCCTCCGTGGACTGAACAACTCATTGTGTATTAGAAGCGTCAGTCTAGGTCGTGGCCGTCATGCTAAGACAAGCTCCCGTGGCGTTGTGGGATTTTTGCGTATCTGTGTTGTTTTATTTAAAGGTCTTTGTCATCGTGACACATTAGTGAGCGTGAGGTACAATGACAATCACTGTTAGCAAACACGAACCGTGTTGTTTCAGTCTCCTCTTTCTTCCCCGAAAAGTTGAGACAATAAATACCCACGAATGTTGCGTTATCATCAGACAACAGCCACATACAGAAGGAAGTCACGAGTTAGTGAAATTCGCAATGCAATGACTTAGGAATAGGATAATATGTGAAGTCACTGTTTTCGTCATCCGGTCGACACGATTCGGTCCGTTAGGCTCCCGTAAGACGACAGGCACACACGTACAGTAACAAATCTGACAGAAACTAAAACCAAGACACCGACGGTGAGATATCAGCCGAAACAAACTCTTGCCATTGATATGAATGATACGTAGCTTATTTCCGATAATTCATATTTTGATTACATTTCCAGATTTACAAAACAGCTTTAGCTGATGCTCCCTATCTCTGCAAGACATTGTGCAAAGTTCACAGCGCACAATAACATTTCTATAGCAACTATGAGGTCATTTCACTGTTGCTAAGAGCGAGGTGATGTATTTCACAATGTCACTCTGCCATTTCTCCTCTGGAACAACACGGCACACACACACACACACACACGCCTCAACCCGAGCCCTTTTAGCCCAAGCTACAACCGTAGAGGATTCACAAATGTTTTTTTTTTTTTCATCAACCAAAAAAAAACCCAAAAAAAAAAACCCAGAACGAACAAGAAACAAACAGAGGGAGGGTAAACTGAGAGACTGCACCAGAAAGTCAAAACGAGGCTTTGTTCTTACGTGACTCGACTTATTAAGTTAATTACACTTGTGCTAATTTTTCAGTCCCGCTGTTTAATACAATATCGTCCTTCTGTCTTGCTGCGTGGACCGCTTTTGTGTAACCTCGCAGCTTTCTGTGAGGATATTTTGGTTTTGCTCTGCATGGAGTACCACTTCCCTGTTATTATCACAATTTGTGAGTCTTCTTGTTCTGTAACAGCGATTGTACATCCGAAGCATGGGGCTGCATCTGTGTGTTTCAGTCCCGGTATGCAGGATCAACTTGCTCGGCTGTAATGGAAGACTGACTCTCTAAAATCGCCGGTTTTGTCTCTTACATCTCTTTCGGCTGGCCCTGTGGCTCTTCTGAGGTCGCAGTTGCGCGACTTCTAATGTGACATATGCGATAAACCAAAGTGGTCCTTTCGATACTCTGTTACCAGTACAGGCCTACATGATGCTAGCTGTTTTTAAAGACAAACAATGTGTGGTACACGTCTATCCAGGTGAGAACAGGTGGCCTGCGTTTACACTCCCTTGTTATCTTTAGTAAAAAATCGAGACACTAATAGTCTTATTTACCATTAACCACTTTTTCACACCATTGGGACACTGAAGCAATACAACAAATTCATATCGGTTTGCAACGTCGTACGTGTCTGTTCCTGGCTCGTTTGTAAAGTTCTACCGAGCACCAGGCCTCATCAGAATAATTCATTTCACAGCATAATCAAAGCTCACTTTGATGTTCAAATATGGTATTTACATGGCTGTTGACGTGTTGAATAAAGAGGAGGAGTCCTCGGTCATATCCGCTGCCCCCTTCCCGCAAGTTTCAGCAGAACCAATGTGCACGGATTTCGTGGAAAGGCTGCCGGCGGAAGCGTCTCTTTTTTTAGCAGCTAAGGCTACAGCGCCTGTCCTCCGTTGATCCACGCTGCTGTTTGGGGTGGGGGGTGTGGGGGCGTTGTTGAGTCCATCGAGTTAGGAACGGGAGGTGACGGGACATAGATAATGGTTGGGTTGCTGTGTGAGAACCTCCGGTCACCTCCCTCCTAGCCTGAAGATCAGTCCTGCTCTGATGTGGCTATGGATGGTGGGACGGGGGTCATGGATGGGTGAGGAGTCGGACCCCCCCACCCTGGGTTGCTCACACACTTCTGTTAACCGCTGATATTGCTCAGTCTGTCTTTTTAAAAAAAAAAGCTGATCGCTTCCTGGGAGTGCAGTGCAGGGCAGTGGTAAGGCTCACAGGCCGGACACCATAACCCTGTAGGAGGGGGGCATGTGTCTGTGACGGGGGCTGGAGGCCGGGCTGCTCGTGGGACTGCTGCAGCTCGCGTCCACCCCTCCTATGGAGGGTAGATATGCGTGATGCAGGATCGGCAGCTGCAGGGACAGCCTGCGCTGTATGCTGTGAACACAAATCACACAGACGAAAATAGTTATTATACATAAAATACCCAATTACCCATTTTCTTTAATGCTCTTTAGTTAATGTGTTTATTAGTGGGGAAGAACTCTTGTATGCCTGTAACAGACGTTCATCTATAATTATATCACAAAGCACATTTAAAGCAGACTTTGCCTCGTACATCATGTTTCGTTCTTAATCAAGGGTTGAAGGTTTAACACCATCTGGACCAACATACCAAAGTTTGGGGCCTGTAATATGTTTTTGTATGCTCACCAAAGCTGCATTTATTGGATTTATTTGACAAATACAGTAAAAACAGTAATGTGAACTGTTTTTACAATAAAAAAAAAAGTTTTCTATTTGAATATATTTTAAAATGTAATGTATTCCTGTGATGGCAAATCTGAAATGAAAATAGCCATTACTCCAGTCTTTAGTGTCACATGATCCCTCAGAAATCATCTTATTGTTATCAATGTTGAAAACAGTTGTCATTCTTAATATTCTTGCTGAAAACTTGGTAACTAGAAAGTTAAAAAATAGAAATCATTTATAACATAAGTCTTTGCTTTTAATGTGTCCTTGCTGACTAAAACAAAAATTAGTGTATAAAGCATCTTTCTCCATTTTTTGACAGCAACAATGAAATCACACATATTCCATTCCATTACAGTAAATATATATATTTCTTTTTTCTTCTTTCTTGTCTCATAGTCAGGATGATGGGTTTAGGACGGTGCTTGTTCTTTTGGCAGTGTGGATCACCTCATATAAAGTCCATTTCATACCCGTGTCTAGATTCAAACTGCACCCCAAGAGGCCGAAGCCCTTTAAATCGATTACAGAAACCAAATAGCAGTTATATAAAGTGCACATAAAGTGCACACACCACACCTCTCATGATTGCTTTTATGATTGGAGTCTCTTTGAGTTATTACTTTTTCAATCAAATATTAATTTCATACATCAATTAAGGAAAATGTCTTCTGTGTTTAGAAATAATTAACATTGATTAGTCAGATGTTGCAGGTTCACATGCAAAACAAAAAAATACAAAAATACTCTTTATGCCAGTGCTATTAAACTAAATATGTACTTGTTTATTCTTTACTGCAGACATGGTGAGCAGTCACAATAAATTAATTTGCCGCATATTCCCATGGCACAGTTGGTGTTATTTTGCAAGGTCAAGACTCCATCAGCTACTGGGGTAAGTGTGTGAGAGTATGTGTGAGTGAGTGTGTGTGTGTGTGTGTGTTTGATGAACAGTGACAGTGCAGAATCCCTCCTCTGTGAGATCAAACATTCATGTGCTGGGACAGCCTGTAGTCCTCTAATTCTACTCTCATGTCTATTTTCAGGGTCCAGTGCCTTTCGCTCTCACTAGAAATCACACATTATGTAACCACAGCCCCCCTCCCACGTCTCTCTCTCTCTGTCCCTGAACATCTACTTGCTTTCATTTACTTTTTTCCGCCTGATGTCTGTATTATTTCTTACCTTCATGTAAATGAGTCTTATACAGCAATGTATGTTGTATCTGTTCACCTTGTTTTTAATGCAAGAGTGGGCCTAGCCATTGGTATGTGGTATGTGTTGTGTTTACTCTAATGTGCAAGTCTTCCGGTGTCAATCGCTTCCAGATACTGTAGCTGTACAAAAACAAAACTGTCTGTTACGCTGCTTGATGTTGAAAACTGGTAATTGTTCAATTATTATTTTAATTCATTTTCACAATCATAAACACACCGGTTTGTATCACTAATAGTTTGACCATTTACGGGGCTTTGTTATTCTTCTACAACCCGAATTCCGGAAAAGTTGGGACGTTTTTTAAATTTGAATAAAATGAAAACTATAAGACTTTCAAATCACATGAGCCAATATTTTATTCACAATAGAACATAGATAACATAACAAATGTTTAAACGGAGAAATGTTACACTTTTATCCACTAAATGAGCTCATTTCAAATTTGATGCCTGCTATGACCTGCTACGATGTAGCATTTCAGCATTGCAGAACAAGTTGGACAGTTTCAACAAGAACTATTTAGAGAATTAAAACCCATAAAAAGAACTTATAGCTAGTCAGTACCAGGTGGTTTTGCAGAGATGGATATTCTCATTCTAGAGAGAAAAAAAAAAAAAAAAAATTAAAATTTTAATCAGTGTAACATTAGTGATGATCATTTTTTGGTCCGTTTTCCTAAGAAAGATGTGGTAAATAGTATACAGTATATATATATAACTGATGAGTTTATGGTCATTGAATGGCTTTTAATAGGTATGACTATGGGCCACAAGAAAAATATATAGAAAATAAATTTGATTAATCTCTCATCGTTTCTAAGAAAATATGCACCGTTAATGCAGCGTCAGATGCCAAAAACTCGTCAGTTTTTAGTTTTATTCTGTGAATAATTGACTGCCTTATGAGACTTCTTCACCGGCATAACTGTCACGCAAATTCTTTAACTTTTTTACTTTATCACCAGTTGCTCGCAAAATTGTAGACAATGATTCACATTTTGTGTGCGTCATTTTCCGTGATAATAAAATGAAGTTAATTATTAAATGAATAAGTAAATAAACAAGTAACAAGCAAACTTAAACTTGTGCTTAAAATATCTGCAAATAATTTGCTGATGCAGGTTCAAACAGACACTTGATTTTTTTCTTGCCCCTCCCCCAACTCAAGAGTTAAATGTCGCCCATGTATAGCTAAAAGCATGTCGAGTTTTCTCAGACTTATACTTTTGTCTTAATTACTGTCATTGTCTAACAAATCTTTCGTCAAATGTTATGTCTGGAAAGTTGGACTGATATTTTGTTCATACTGTAGATTCTTATGTGTCCAGAAACTTTTTTGGGCCTAAAGTGCATGCCGGTGTGAACTCACTGTTCTGGTGAGTTGATGTCTTCTAGTGGACCTCTGCTTATCCTAGAAGGATCCATGGATCCCCACTGAGCCTGAGGCTTCTGCTCTAAGTGGTTCTTCAGAGATTTCTCTCCATCTGAAAACAAAGACATGATGTTCAGAATGCTGCCTTTCCATCAGGATGTCAGTGGTGGATTCAGCTGAAGAAGATGCTGAGTCAGAACTCACACCTTAATGACACCTCAGGTTGACATGTTTGGGGATGAAAAATGTATAACACCAATAAATTGTTCTTCTTCTCTGGGTGACAGACTCAGGAACAGAGGAAAAGAGTTTCACATACTGAAATGAGTCACGACTGACAGCTGTGTGTGATCGACAGGTGAGGAACACAAGGTTTGATATCCACTTCTCCTACCTTTTCCATCAGTGAAGTTGCGTATGCTCAGGATATTGTTGACATCTTGGTAGTGGTTTTGTTTAATGTATGGAGTCTTTTCTGGAGTGTCCTGGAGTTGCATGGTAACCTCTTCCAGTTCCTTATCCAGCTGTAACACAAATTCAAAAATCCGATAGCCCTTTACAATAAGGTCCCATTAGTAATGCATTAGCTACTATACGTTTGTTATAGTATTTATTAATCTTTGTCAAAATTAGCTAATACAAATGCAACTGTTCATTGTTAGTTCATGTTAGCTCAAGTCCGTGAAATAATACTTTTGATTTTAATAATGTACTGTATTAGTAACTGCTTAAATTAACAATAGCTAAGATTAGTAAATGCTTTGGAAGTATTTTTCATTATTAGTACATGTTAGCTAATGCAGTTAACTATGGTAACAAACGAAACCTTACTGTAAACCAGTCATTTATTTATATAACAAATTAATAATTTGTCATTTAAAAAATAAAATAAAATCAAAACATACAGTAGTATGTTTCATTACTGTAAAATACTTACAGTAGTAAAAACATTTATTGATTTCACAAAACAAAACTCCATACAGTTGCTCCCAAAAATATCTATTAGTCTTGATATAATTATTTATTTGTTATTTAAGTATAATCATTTAGTCTTAATATGTATTTATACTTAATCTAATATAGATTTTGGTACTGTATTTTGATTTGCATAATATATTTTTTTGTTTACCTGTATTCGTTATTTGGGGATATAAATTACACTGTCATTCTAGGAATGTAATAATTTAGTCATTTATGACGATTGAAATGGGAGAAACTTCCATCACCTCTGTAATTCTCATTCGGAGGCGGTGGTTGTCCGTCTGTAGTCCATCCAGACGGGAAGTGTTGGCCTGGTTAACACTGGTTACTGAGGTGGAAGTCTTGGAATCTTCCTTCTTCTGGTTCTGGGTGAACTTTAACCTCCGGTTCTGTGTGGCAGCATCCGGGTTTGTTCGCATTGTTACAAACTAACAAACGAGAAGAGAACAAGGACATAATATTGAGATCTTTTGGCATCGAGTCTGCTTAGGATGTATTTGTTTAGAGGTAGAGTCGAATCTTTCAAATTTCAGTGTGTTCATTTCCAGAGAGCTCCAGGGAATGCAAAGTAAGCACTGTTCTCAATTATGTTCCGGTGAACTTGCTAGGGATTTGCACAAATCAAAATGCCAGAATGTGGCTTTCGCTGACCTCTACAATTCTTTCCCCATAGGGCTGGATCAGGCTGTACGTTGCAGTACTTACCTTTGGCACAAAAACCAGACACAGCGTGATGGTGCTGCAGAAGATGATGACCAGTGCCACGATGCAGAACTGCACATTAGGCTGATCTCGGGTCAGGAAGGACACTGCTGCCCCAATGATACACATGATGCCCACATTATACACACTCATACCGATGTACTTGCTGTCGTTCAGGGCTGGAATGCTCACATTTCTGGTCTCCCAGGCCAAAAAACACCCAAACAACTAGACAAAAAAGAGAAAAGTGCAATGAATTATAAGAGCAGTGAAATCTTAAGTTTTGCATAGACAATCATTTTCACTTTCATCACCGTGTGCAGTCCTCAGTTTACAGTGATGAATCATAAAGCCAGTGAGAATGAACTGTGGCTGACTTATTTAACACCCTAATTCCTCTAAAGGCAGCTAACAACACCTGTCCAACTCTCAGGAAGTCAGAGAAGTAATCAAAGCACCTTTGTGTGCGACTAGAGTGAACTCGGAGAAATATGACTCAGCTAACATAATGACGCACACTCGGAGATCTGATTCTGCACCCACTCGCCTCAAAGCTATTCAATCCTAATCCAATCACAGCCCGTCTCACTCTTTTTCCTTATTCACCCTCTCCTTCTCTCGTTCTACAGGAACACGTCGGCTGTAAGTGAAGCCACGCTGATTTAGCGGCAGGTTTTCATACATGACAAGAGGAAGGAAGAGGAAGTTTTCTGAAATGGCACATAGGCCTATAAGAGAATGTGAGTGTGATGGCATTGGCACTTGTTCACTATTATGATTTGATGACTTTCTTTCTAAACACATTTCGGCCTTGATTTAACATTGACACCTTTGCCTCCCCACAAACCTAGAGCTGTAGTTTTTAGAGAGAAGAGAGACAAAAGAGACTGGAAGAGATACTCTGTGGTCCACAGTTGACCTTTGACACGGATCGTCTACTGTAGAGCAGGGTAAAAACAGAGGTAATGGCCTGCCAGTCAAACCGAACCACCTGCCGCTATTACAGCAGCCAGAACAAGAGGACAAATCATTTCCACAGAGCACAAAGTGAGTGAGAGGGCAGATTTGTATTTGAGGATGTTGCCACCATTGACTCAGAGATTATGGTCTGTGCTATGGGCAATTAACTGACTGGGGGCATTTTGGTTCCTGAGGCACCTTACCAGTAATCTAAAGTGAGGTTAATTGGAAAGAGCAATCTTGCTCATATTATATCTCCTCCTTTGGTACAATGTATCAAAGTCCAGTCAGTGAGTTCGCTAGATGTGCATTTCCGGAAAAAAAGTTTACAGCAGTTTCTCAATCTTTTTGACTCCATTTCTAAAAACACAATATTTGAAGGTGCTTTAAGTGCTTCTGCTGTAATGTCAAAGCTGCTTATTTGCAAACTTTTTATTTATTTATTTATTTTTATTTTATTTATTATTATTTTTTTACAGAAATTGTAAAGTGGAAATATATAATATTTTCAGTTTCAGAAACTAAAAGTTCACTGGGGTTTACACTTTCACAGCAATGCATTTACATTAATTATTTTACTTTTTTTTTTCTTACAGATTTTTTAAACTCACAAATAGCAATTTCTAAACAATAACATATTTTAGAGCTTGACATAACTACAACAATTATATTCATTGTTAAAATGCCCAAAACTTTTTAGTATTTGATTAATTTCCGCTTTTCCAGGTCTAGAAATCACACTTTCAAAATTCTGTGGCAAGACAAAATGACAGTTGTAGAAAAATATTTATTAAAAAAAGAAATGAAATATGTTTACTTATTTTAATGCTTAATTTAAATCATTTTAAGCCATATTGCGCCCCTCTTTGCTGAAGCCCATTAGTTGATAACCATTAGTTTACAGTAAGTTTTGGTTTTAGTTTTTTAGTTCAGTGTAAACAAAATTTCAGCAATAAGCAGGGGGTGTTAATTTTGTCACAGTAAGAGCTGTTCTTAAGCCTAAAACCAGAGGTAAAATCATAGTAATGCAGACCTCAAGTGGCTTAGGTTTTTTGATTTGTAGCTTGTATAAAGTATGATAAGACAATATTGTTCCCTAATAAATCTTCATGTATTCTAATTTGTGTTTGTTAACACTTATACAATATTGTCTATTGGTGGGTCATGAACATTAGATAACTGTATGTATGGCATTTGTATTTCCTGATGTAACACAAGAGACTCAGAATCTAGTATTGCAAATGCATTTTCATGACAGTAAGATACTGTATAATAATTTACCAAGTGGCAGAATATTCAGACTCGGTTGTCTGCGGGAGCAGATGGCGATCATGTTGTTGCTCTCTAGAATGTTCTCACTCACCATAAGGAGGCCTTTGTAGGCATAGACAATCCCCAGCCAAATGGTCATGTGCGTGTTCTCACAATGCTCCAGGAAGGGCCGGATTGCGATGTCTCGTCCCTGAGGATCTGCCTGTGGAGACGCAGTGAGAAAACCAATGAGTGGAAATAATCCTGGCTAAAAAACACCTTTGTCACTAACAACAATAACAAAATACAGAGCCAGGGCTTATTTGCCTTGACTTAAATGCGTTTAATATGAAGGTTGATTTGGGGTTGACTTTAAGAATTTATTAAATACATTTGCATTTAGATCTAGGAGTAAATTTGCAAAATTGCATTTGCATCGAGTACCAATACTGAGGATGAAGGCATTACAGGAACTGGGATCATTTAATCTCCCATGGGAGACCAACCTTAATGGACTTTCTAGAGATAGTAACAATAATATAGTCACCTCTACGGGATGCCACCTGAGAGTTAACGATTAACAATAACTCTTTATGGCTCAGGCATTGATCACTTGATATTGATCGAGATATTTACAGTCTTTATATGCAAGACAGATCAGGACTGGACTGCGAAGGGGGTCTGCGAAAGAGAAGATCTCAACCGAGTTCCCCCTCAAAGTGCTGGGTCTAAAAGTAGCTAAGCTCTAACCCACTTTCTGCTGCCCCAGTTTGAAAAACCTTTAGCTTGCCATGCAACGACCCGGACACAAAGATAGACAGGGATCCAACCTCCAAACGCATTCCTAAGTCTTGCCTATTTTTCCCAGTTTAGTCACAGAGCGTAACACCCCCAGCTCTCATCCGTCGCTTGTGTGGATCTAATCAGCATGATTTGAGTTTGGCATTAAGGAGTTCACAGCACAGAAGACATCTTCACAAAGTGACGGTGCGAGTAAAGTGGGCCAGCCAACACAAGAAGTTCTATTTATAAACTACATATTCCAAGATGTGATGAATCCTAGAAGTCAAACAGACATTGTCAGACCATTTTTTAACTCAGCGAGAGAACAGATCAGAGAGGAACTGCTGATGATGTATAGTCTGCGAAAAATGTTGATGTGATAAAGTGCTTCTACAATCGCAACGAAAGAAATAGCAAAAAAATATCTTTCCCCTCACTCAAAGTAACACAATAATGCTTTTACTTCTCTTGTTAAACATTCAAGTGTTCCTTCTGACCTCAAAAACCCAGAAATGAAAAGATAAAACTGAAATAAACTGCTTATTTCAAACTGCACAACAACAAGAGCTCTGCTTTCCTCATAGCCTGAGCTGTAGTTAGTGGAGCTGTGTGGTGTTGCCGGGCAACAGTCGGTGGGTTGGGCTTAAAGAGAGTGCTGGGTGCTCAGTTATTTCTCACTGCATTAGGCGTCTAATGTAATTGTTCACTGGAAGCTAGAAGGATGTGTGACTGACAGAGTGTCTTTGGAGAGACGGTGACAAGAGGGATACAGTTAGCTGAGAAGAGAGAATTATATCCGTTTATAGACTGGAATGAACCATATGGACACTGAGAACTGCAAACAGACAGCCATCAGGTGTGTCTTCTTGAGTAGTACAGTAGCAGGTTTAGACATACAGATAACCCTATAACTCCTGCCTGAGACTTTTCACTTACAAATGTATTATTAAAGCCTAGCTTACTAAATTGTGGAAGATTGCATACGCAAATTATATATATATATATATACTTTAATAAATTATCTACTTTATTTATCATAAATTGTGGTCCTGGATGAGTAAACATTTTTCTATTTTAATTTTCTATTCCCCCTCCCCCACCCCCGTGGCTTTTTATCTCACAATTCGGACTTTTTTTTCTCACAATTGAGAAAGGTGTTAGTCGACTCACTCCGAGCGGAATTCGAATCGAGGGTCTCCAGCATGAGAGGCGGACACACTAACAAGGACGTTAAAGACGTCAGTCGCCAGTCAGCCTCTTGAGGCCAAGGGAGTGAGATTTACCAGCACAGCTCTTAGTACTAGCTGGCCGATATTACACACGTGTATTTGATTGTAGCTAAACTCTACAGGACAGTGGGTCCCCAGGAAGACCTATAGGCATTAAAGTTTACATGGTGTGATCCTGTCCTCCATGTATCTCAATCTGAGCATGAAAAAAATGAATCAACCCAAATAGACGGGAGAGTGAAAGAGAGAGAAAGAGTCATGGACTTCAGGGTTCTTTGCCTCAGTCATTTCTCCATGAGCATATATTTTATTCCATTGAGAGTTTAGTACAGCATGAATGAGATTTCTATTATCCAGCTTCTTTCTAAGACCTTTGATTTTGAGCTAAGCTCTTGTTTAAGAGAAATGATAGTTATAATACTCATTTGTATGGGTCAGTCACCCTTCTCTCCGTCTGTTTCTCTCTGACATGGCTTCTTGTGACCACAATCTCTTATCTGTAGTAATCCTTTTACATTACACCCTGTGATCTCTGCGTGCCACTACTTAAATGTAGTATGGCGAGGCAGATATTGTTCAATGGAGCTGAGAGTTCTTTAATAAAAAAGTTAAGTCAATTATTCAGCCATCAAATCTTAAGGTCAACTCGAACGATACTTCACTGACCTAATCCCACAGCAAAGACATGACACACATCAAGGTTCACCATGGTTCAAAACCAACACTCGCCAAGCACCAAGTTCAAATAAAAATCAGCTCAGGTCAGTAAATAACACACTAACTTTGCCCATGTTTGCCAGAACTGCAATATATAGTACATTATCTAAATTAAAAATGATAGAATGACCTCACATGAGCGCTTCAAATCGAAGACAATTTATCTAGGATGTGGCACAATGTGGAATATTCATTGCAATAATCCACCAAAAAGAATATAAAAGAAAAATATAAGGAACAAAATTATGATTTGTGACAGTTTGCCTATATATATTGAAATTGATGCAATTGGCTGCACGGCATGCTATTACAAATGTTAAAAAAATTAAAATAAAAAAAATAAAAAATAAATTTGCTATATTATATACTACTATTATTATTTTAAAAGTTTGGGGTAGGCAGCATTTTTTTAAATTATTACTTTTTCTTAGACTCTTATGTCACCAAGGCTGCATTTATTTGATCAAATTATTCAATTTATTATTCAATTATTGAATTATATCAATTTATTCCTATGAGGGCAAAGTCTTCAGTGTCACATGATCCTTCAGAAATCATTCTAATATGCTGCTGATTTGCTGCTCAAGAAACATTTCTTAGAATTATCAATGTTGAAAACAGTTTTGCTGCTTAATATTTTTGTGGAAACCGTGATGCTTTTTTTTCTTTAATAATTCTTTAATAAACAGAAAGTTCAAAAGAACAGCTTTTATTTGAATTAGATTATTGTAATCCAAAATCTACTTCCATTATGCCACTTTCTCTAATCACTTGCGTTTTGCAGGTGTGGCAAATGTACATTTTGGACCATGTTTAGCACTTTCCGGCTCGCTGACTGCATCTCTGTGTGGCTCCTCCAGGGTTACATCTACCTGCTCCAGTTTGAGGATGAACCTGCAGCTGTACGCTGAGGCTTTGCAGATCTGTCTCCCTCTGGTGTGTGCTTATTTTTGGAGTCCACTGCTCTAAACTCCACTTCAAATGCAGTGACTTCAAAGTGGCCCTGCTGCAGTCCCTGCGGCTGAGCCTGGGAGCTGCCATCACTGATTCATTACAGGCTAAATGCATCATTAGACCAGGAATCAAACCCCGAACATCAAGCGCATTTAAATATGCAAATGAGAACTTGCAGTGGCATGTTTCAGATTGCCTTTGTTATTGCAGCCTAAAATGCTTTTTATTGACATCATTCTTTAATCTAATGCTCCAGAATATCTCGGTTTTAATCACAACTCCCATCTGCTCGCTCTCCGCGAGTCTCCGATGCAAATGACTTTCGCTATGTTGCCGTCACGTGACTGCCGTACCGCGCACCCTTCGCCCTACACAAACACACTCACTTATAAACATGCAGCTAATTTGCGAATAACAACCTTCATAAATGGAGTTCGAGTGCTCGCTGTCAAACGTTATTAGAGCTCACACATGGGCAAACATTTGAATCTGGTGACTACTGGGATTATACTGAGGTATGCACACAGATGCACTCTCAGTATTACGGTCACGGACACATAAACAAACGCATACACTCACACACTCGCAAAATTGGAAGGCCATAACGCATACAGCATGTTTTCTTTTCCGGGGGACAGTCGCGATTTGTGACTCGGGTCATCTATACATCTTTGTTGAGTCAAGGACACGGAGAGGTCCCACACACGATAAGCCATCAGTCCTGATAACTCATTAGGACTGCTGTTTTTTTCCTCCATGAGGGCAGGCATAGCAAACTGTGAGTGATGGAGGATGGCCGCTCTCCATCATAGTGCACTCTGCTGCCCCTATGATTACTGAAGCCACAAGCACCTTTCTGTGCTGTGGACATCAGGGTGCGGAAAAGAGTAGATGGGTGTTTGTGCGACTGTCCTCTAACCATGACCAACATTGTTTACAAATACACCACATCTTAAATTCTGTATGTGTTCACATTCGGTGATGGGAATAATAGTAGTGGAAACCAAATTTGAAACATTTTTGGAATGAAATGGCTGACTTCCCATAGTATTGCAAGTAGCATAGCATAATGCAAGTATGGCTTAAAGAGGATCTATTATCCCCCTTCTCAAAGTCTTTAGGGTCTACTAGAATAGGTTTTCATGCTTGAATGTTCAATAAACATTATTTTTCTCATATTTTACATTATTTCAGCACCTCTTTTCCCAGTCTGTCAGTAACGCTCTGTTTTGTTCCTGTCTCTATGAAGCCCACCCTCCCGAAAAGCGCAATGTGCTCTGATTGGTCGGCTGCACCAGTGTGTTGTGATTGGTCAACTGCTTCAAGCGTGTTTTGGAAATGTCACGTTCCTTACCTTAACCGTGAGTTTTAACACACTACTAACACAACTCAACCAGGCCTCGGCTCCTTTTGTGCAAATGTCTTGGGTGGGAATTATTTAAATGAGGAATATTGTGATGTGTAGCCTACATTCCCGGAAGAAAACTCAATAATACAATCAAGGTGTTTCGGGGAGTTCAGAAACAGAGAGCACTGATAT